AGCAAAGACAATGGAATGTTGGAAATATATTTGGAAGTGCAGAGGTACACCCACTTATCCTTCACCCAGGGGACAAGCTGCCAGCTGGTTTGTCTTATAAATGGAGGATCACAACTGGTCTGGCTGTTTAACACAGAGAGAAACTTTGGGTGAGCTAACCTTTTTGAGAAAAAATGTCTCGTTTGTTAAGTTTAGGCTCTAAAAAGCATGTTACGATTTTATTTTATATGTAACCAGTTGTGTCCATTAATTCTACTACTTAAATTTTTTGTTAAACAAACAACTACTTCTTTTTACTAAAAATATTTAAATGCTGTGTGTTGAGCAGTGTGGTGATCCTGAGGTATAACTGGTAAGCAGGTGTGTACTATTCCTTTGGGAGTAGTGGGTCTGTGAATTCTGAGAGTGTCCAGTGGAACGGGGTTGGGCACTGCAGGGGGACACTCGGAATGCTCAGGCGTTGGAGTGTGCTTATTGTTAACATGTACAGAAACAGCTGGGCCTGCAGAGGCCTGAAAGGCAGTGCTTCTGTTGCCAGAGTGGGGGAACTGACCCCCAGCAGGCAAAGCCAAGGTTTCCTCACACTAAAGGCAGGTGTTACCGAGATGCTTCACAACTTTGGGTACCCCCCGGAGTTGTCACACTCACAGTCCTGTCTTGATATTTTCTTGGTATATGTTATCTGGGGCTCTCTGTTAGTATCTCACACACACTCTCGCCAACCCAGTATAAAACCCACTGCCAAAAGCACCTTTTTGTCAATATAAGCGGTGTCTATACTAGGAGGGTTTGCCAGTGTAGGCATACCAGTGTAGACTATGCTTCAGTCTATGTTTAATTTCCCTCAGATAAATACTACTTACCTACCTCACAGGAATGTTATGTTTGTTAAATAATGTTTATTCAACCATTTTAAAACAAAATATGTCATCATCATCTTCACTTCTCTAAGAGACCATCAGGAAAGATTGAGAGATATCTTGAGACACGAGGAAGATACTCCACCATATCAACTTCTTGAAAGTCAATAGGGTTCCACAAGAAACGAAGTCCAGGATCAGGGCTCTGGTTCATCAATGCCTCCTAACTGCATTTTCCTCACTTTAATCATATTCCTTTAGTAACATTTACAGCACTATCTTGTTTGTGTTACCAGAAAGCTTTTCTGCCAAATTCGGTCTGCTATTACAAACTACAATCGAAAGGGTTCTTCTCTGTTTGCAACCCCCTGTTAGTAAGGATACAATTAAGTCTTATTTTTAGAAAAAAAAATGTGAAATGGTATTTATTTGAAACACTAGGAATAAGCATGAGCAGCGATTTTGATGGGAGAAGGGTACCTGAGAGTAAGTTTATGTTTCAGAGAGTTTATAGGGCCCTACCAAATTCATGACCATGAAAAACTTGTCACGTACCATGAAATCTGGTTTCCCCCCATGAAATCTGGTCTTGTGTGTGCTTTTATCCTATACTATACTGATTTCACAGGGGAGACCAGCGTTTCTCAAACTGGGGGTCCTGACCCAAAAGAGAGTTTGCAGGGAGGTCACAAGGTTATTTTATGGGGGGGTCACGGTATTGCGCTGACTTCGGAGCTGGGCGGCCAGAGAGTGGCAGCGGTTGGTTGGGCACCCAGCTCTGAAGGCAGTGCCTCGCCATCAGCAGTACAGGTTTAAGGGTGGCAATATCATACCATGCCATCCTTACATTTGTGCTGCTGCTGGCGGTGGCTCTGCCTTCAGAGCTGGGCACCCAACCAACAGCCGCCACTCTCCGACCACCCAGCTCTGAAGACAGCGCCGCTGCTAGCAGCAGCGCAAAAGTAAGGGTAGCAGTACTGTAACCCCCCTACAATAACCTTGTGACCCTCCCCCCACAACTCTTATTTGGGTCAGAACCCCTACAATTACAACACCATGAAATTTCAGATTTAATTAGCTGAAATAATGAAATTTACAATTTAAAAAAATCCTATGATCGTGAAATTGACCAAAATAGAGCGTGAATTTGGTAGGGCCCTATTTATTTGCAATTAAATATAAAAAATAATGAAGACTGAACAGTACTGTAAACATTGACTGTTATGATTAAAAAGGAAATTTAATAGCTTTATAGAATCGATGCTTCTTCATTAGTTTTCTCGAGCAATCAGCTAATACGGTGCTCCACACTGGGGACAACAATAATGCCATTGAAGTCAATGGAACTACTAGCACACCCAAAGATATGCGCATGCATTACTGTTTGCGGGACTGGGTTCCATCTACCTACTTAAGCACTTGTAGTAGTGCTCTTCACCATAGTATCTGAACACTCCCCGGGAGCAGGTGGCCTGATTTTCCTCCCTAATTCAACTGAGGAATAAACAGAATAACCAGACACCTTTATCTCCACAACATTTAATAAACTGTAAACTTTTATCCCATGAAAAACACTACTTGTTATCATAAACTGATTTATTCTGTATTGAAGAACTTGGGACTTTTCCTCCTCAGGCCAGTGGTGGTGAGACTTGTAGACACTATAAGGCGTGTACCCCTAACACTGTTCTTTTGTACCCACTATCAAACTGAAAGTGCAGGGTCACTAATCTTGCAGGAGTCAGCTTGCCATTCCAGCATGTTTAGCACTAATGAAGGTTGGAGGAGATCATAGGAGGGAAAATCAGGCCAAAATAAAAAATACTGTGGTTCCCTGCTGTGATCATCCCAATATTCTTGAACAACTGCCTCAGAGAAATGAGAGCCTCCTTGGCATGCAGCCTATTTGGGACAGATAAGGGATAACTTGATGCTTGAATGTCTGGGGCTCTTCTAGGTCAAAGTGAAGTGAAATGAAATCTAATTCCAAATGTTAAGGCAGTTTAGCTGCCTCTTCAGCATCTACCAGCTGTACCTGTTAAATTTTAACTTTGTGGTTGTTTATTTTAATTTTTTCTTTTTATTAAAAGGAGGTATAAAATGATAATGAAAGAATGGGACTGGGGACAGAAGAAGGAAAATTAATAACATTAAAATAGGTTAAATAATGCCAAAAAACAGCTTTTACAAAAGCATTTACAGCAGGAGAGTGAACATAAAATCAATGGCATCTCTGATGTGAGCCATGATGAAATTATGCTAGTTTATGCATTAAGAAAAATTCACATACAAAACCAACATGAAAATATAATTGGATTTGTCATTTCAAAGTATTAGTATCAGATTTCCAGATAATAAGGGGTGACATACTCCTATGCTAATAAAGGGAGTTAGCCAAATAAACAAATGCTGTTTCTCTACTGTAAGGAAATACATGTACCAATGAAGCAACCTTTTCAGCACAAAAGTAATTTAATACTCAAACCACATGAAAAGTGATCTTTATGGGAATAGCACAGCTGCTAAAATCCAAGTCAGTTTTTATTAAATCATCAGGTCTGTTTATGTAAAACAGGGCTCTTTTAAATGACCACCAAGAGGAAATCATTTCTAACAAAAACTGATATCTGCATTTAATTTAATGGTTGGGGGTGTGAGTGTGAGTACACACATCAGAGCTGTAGGTGGTCAATATCTCTAGTCATAGGGTAGATGAACAGGAGGTGAAAAAGCTACTTAGGTGAACAGACAAATTTAGTATGAAATATCAGATTCCGTACTTTCAAAACAAACAGGATAAATTGATTATCTTTCTTTTATAAAACAAAACACCTAGGATGACACCCATAGAGTACCTCTGCAAAAACATACTAGTGGAAATAAAGAGAAAATGACTGTTTTTTTAACTACCACTGTATTGCTTAGCTACTCAAGAGAGTAGAGATGTGCTCCCAACCGTACTGTAATTTTAGCACTGGAGTTTTTGAAGAGAATATGCACATAAAAGTCCTTGAGGGCCTGACTAACATATAAGTTACACTAAAAGAGTGAGTGGTATATTGTATCAACAGAAGTTTCTGCAAGACAGAATTCTAAATCTTAAAAAAAAAAAAAAAAAAAAATTCCCAGCCCCTCAAGATCTGTATTTGGAATATGAAGGATGAGTTTAGTGTAGAGAATGGAAAGAAATTCCTGCAGCAAGTCTCTGGGTACACAAAACTTGACTGAATTAATAGCATTTCCGTGTGTGTCAAATTTTGACTTAAACCACTGACTCCTCATATTGAGATATCCCAGTTAAGATCACTAGGACTTACACTACACAGTCCCAGAAAAGTTGCCAAAGAAAGTTTTCACGGATACAATACAGGAAAACAATCCAGCAAGGAAGAGGCCTCACACAGACACACGAGTGGTATGTACCAGTGTTCTGGCAAGGTTCAACTCAGAATCCCAGCAACTGCTGTAATCCATTAGTCAAGTCAGGATGTCAGCACTAGCATGAAAACTAAGCAGCCTCTTCAATACTACACAGTTAAGTTATAAAGGTAATTTTTACTTTATCCCTACATACAAGTCTTTATCAAGAAACATCAGCTATTCACACTTTACCTAATTACAAAAGGCACCCAGTGCAATTATGTTAAAAAGAGGTAGAACCAAACTTCAGAAATCATTTCTCAAATAATGAAAGAAAGAAAGATTCTTCCACTGTACACTTTAAACTATTTCATAATGTCTCTGGATTAACAGTACAGCAGCATGTTGTTCTTGGTGCCTTTTCACTGAAGATCAAAGGGGAAAGCCCCATTATACTGACTTCTTAACATTGCCCATAATGTATTTTTTTAAATGTATTTATTCATGTCAGCATGAAACTCTTACGTAGAGAGAGAGTAGGTGACAGACTTGACATCTCTATGTAACCCAAGGAAAAGCAGAAAATAGTGTAGGGAGAGGGGAGGGAGACCAAAATGGTTTAATCTGTAGCCAGAACATAGGAATAAGAATTGGGTTAGATCCCAGATCCTAAAGAAACAAATAAAGAAGTGTCTTTGAGTGAACCAACCTTAGATGCCACATGACCTGATTGTAAAACATTGCATATTCAGAAATAAAATACAAGCAACTCAGACTTACTTTGGGAGAGCAGGCTGTGCACTTGTCAAATGCAAGGCTGACAGGAAGGACATTATCAAATCTTGATAAAAAGCCACGAATCTGGAAAGAAATAAAATGTACATTCATATCACATAATTACAGCAAATGTATTTCCAAAATTCTAGCTGAGTTAGACACATTCAGCAAGGGGATGAAAATTATCCTATACCTCTGCAAAATCAGGGTGGTGCTAATTTAATGGCCTCAATAGTGTGTTCTACTAAATCTATATTGGTACCATATGTGAATTGGTTGATTTTTCTACAGACACATGTAATGGTAGGACAATATAAATGCAATATTATTTAAATATGAACAGAGGCACAGCACCACCTGCAGTTTGAACGTTTTAGTTAATGTCAAGAAAACAAATAAAAAGCCATGTCATAACTTTTTTTCTGTGCATTTCCCTACATTCTCTCCCTTTATAAAAATTACAATATGAAAATGTAAACATTGTGCATTCCCGTACTGAACAGCCACTGCTGACCTATTTGACTTATTAGAAAAGTATAAAGAAAACTAATACACACACAAGATTTCCAGAGAATTGGTTCTGATAAAATGTACACTCTGTACAGACTTTGGGCCAGGGACTGGGTCCTCCAATATGTTTGCACAAAACCCAACAGAATGACCTGGATGCTGGTTGAGGAACCTTAGCACTATTACAATACAAATAATTAACACAAAAGTGTTTTTCCTCTCTCCTGATTTTTTCTTCTCGCTTTTTTGGTAAATGCAGGTCATTCTTAACATCATGTTGTACTTGATTAATTGTTAAAGTAATCAACTGCTTGAACACTGGAATTCTTTGTATAGAACTAATTTTTTTCTATTATCTTCTTAGTTTGCTTTCCCAGATGAAGTTTCCATTAGGGGCTCAGACCAGGAATATGTTTTTAAACTAAAGTGGATTGAGCATTTAGATTGTAAACTCTCTGGAGCAGAGACCATCTTTTTATTGTGTGTGTGTACAGCGCCTAATACAATGGGGTCCTGGTCTGTGACTGGGTGCCATTGCTATACAACTAAAATACAATACAATAATAAAAATAATGACTAATTCAATGTTTTAGAGAAGTTCTTATAACATTTTTATTATAGCTGATCATTGTGCAACATATTCTTCCCCCTCCCCACACACACACACGCGCGCGCACACACACACACACAAAACAACTCTTGCGAGGCTGCATAACTGATTACATAATTCCATTATATTTTTAATTGCCACATAACTATGTTTCAGAGTCTACATTTTCATCTTTGAAAAATGCCTCATCTCTAGACATTGGATGAAATCTGAGCCCCATTGTAGATACTGACAACACTCAGTGAAGCCAGGATTTCACCCATTATGTTTTAAAAAGATAACCTTCAGCATGAGATCTGAATGTACACTAATGACGTAAATGGAAATGTTAACCTGTCTGCAGACAGTCTGAAACAATAGCTCTCTGTGATGTGAACTATCCTATTCATCTCAATGGGTATCATCTCTGAAATATGATGGTAATTTAAATGTCAACCATTTCACTATTGAGCATTTTAGCAGAAACGTGCCTATTTGTCATTGATGGATGCAGTGGCAGGATGCAGAGGGGCAGCTAGTTGCTCTCAAAGGTCACCAGCATGGGGAAGAGGGAATTCAAGCCCTCCTATTCCCAAATTGAAGTCAAATCTGCTCCTGTCCCAAAGGGGGAGGGAAAGAGAAGACCTATCCCTTCTTCAATGCCAAAAGCCTGAGTTTCTCTCATGGGGAGAAGAAAACAAAAACAGCTTCCACACACTCTCTCTACTTCCTCTACCAGGCTGTCAAAGCCTCCAGTTTCCCCCAAGACTTTCTGCAAAACAGCTATTAACTATCAATATAAAAATCAGCAACCTGCTGAACAGTGAAAATTTAGGACAGCATAGACTAAACTGTTCATTATCAAAAAATAAATAAAATCACACAAAGGACACGACTAGAGAGGTGAGAGAGAAAGGCCTGGAGGGAGTCAATGCTACATAATTTTGTGGCTCCTGCCACATAATTTAACTCTAATATGTCACAACATGTCCAATAAAAGATATTACTTCACTCACCTTGTCTCTCACAGGATGTTCTGCTTCATACAGAATTGAAAATCAGTTGTGTTTTAAACATCAAATCATATTGGTAAACTCATTCTCATTTGAATTTACCATAGTCCAAAATAATATTCCTCTCAACTGCTATTCCTAGTGTAGTGGAAGAAACCATGAACATGTAGTAGCCTTGCTAGAACTGATGCCTAGATTTCATGCACTTATGAGACCATTCCAGTACCTAAGTAGAATGGAGGGTTATCTCTAACACTAAATGTCCTTGCTTTATAATGTGTTCCATTATAATATCAAGATCATTCTAATTATTTAGCAGGTTCTACATTGCATTAATATTTACACATTATTAATTATTATTATTATTATTATTATCTTACCCCACTACCACCCTGGTATCTCTGATGGTCACTCCTGCTATAGATGCTTCCAAAATGCTTGGGAGGTATTGACATTATTACTGCCTTTCACCATTATTATGTTGGCCATTTTGTAATTCTGTTATGCTGGAAAACCCATAACACTGCCACAGAGTACACTCAGGTCAGTTGTAATAGATTAATACTAACAGAGAACAGTAAGTAACAGCATCATTCTAGTGTAAACTACATTGATTTTGCCATGTGCTTTGGTAACTACAGTAACAATACTATTAAATTAGCCATGTGTGACAATTACTCACAATCAATAGTTTATCAAAAAAGTGTCTCTCATTGCTCAAACCACCTTTACATCAAATATACGTTGCAACTGAAGGAAGGCCACATTTTAAGTAACATAAAACATACGGAAAAGGTCTGAACTGGCAAATTAGACAGATTGTACTCATACAACTTTTGTGCATAAAGCTTTGAACCCAACAGCATTCTTTATCAATGGGATCTTTGCTCTATTATTTTGGTGAAAAGTAACAGTAATAGATGGACAAAATAGGTCATTAGCCAAACGACAGAAACAATCTAATAGAAGTGAGCAGGTTTGGGGGAGTCAAAATCTGGTCCCAAATTCACACCAGTTAGTGGATTTTGGGGAGCTACATTAAAAGCCAGTACAGATGCAGTACAGTTCAAAAGAAAATAAAAACCTTTCAGACAAAAAAAGATAAGTTCAACATAAAAATATTGTATTTCATACTGACAGCAGCTGGCCCCAAATGACTGCACAACAATTCATTTATGGTATCAATTTCATCAGACTTGCTTAGTCTAGACACTTCACTTTAACAAGAGACTGGCAGAGGCTAACCTGTCTACTCAGAACTGAATCATAATTTCAAAGCCATAACTGAACATTAAATTACATAATGGCCACATCTGATACTTTTTAAACAGTGAACTTTATACAGCTGTAAGAAAATGACATCAGGGCAAACCAGATATCAGGCAACATAACCTATGATAGCTGAATTTGTGCTCAGAGGCTCCTGAATTCAGTTTCTTCTTAGCATCTCCTGGAAAATAAACTACCAAAAAAAAAAAATTAAAAAAAAAAAAAGGCAAGCCAACCCAGGACAAGACCCTAAATGCTTCTCAAAATACCTATTGCAAATGAAGCACAGATGAAATAGAGCTATTAGAGGTCACGACAGCAAGCGGCCAGCACACAAAAGAATGTACAAGAATAAGCGGGAGCAACACCACCTACCAGAGAAAATCCCTACTCTAAAATAAAAAGAGCAGTCACAATCTGCTATGTCAACAATCCTGGGATAAGAGTATGGCTATGCCTATGCTTTAACAGCTGCTGCAGCTGTGCCACTGTACCACTTCAGTGAAGCTACTCAATACAGCGATGGGAGGGGTTCTCCCGCTACTGTAGTTAATACTCCTCCCTTAGGCCTGGTCTGCACTATGAGTTTAATTCGAATTTAGCAGCGTTAAATCGAATTAACCCTGCATCCGTCCACAGAATGAAGCCATTTATTTTTAAATAAAGGGCTCTTAAAATCGATTTCTGTACTCCTCCCCGACGAGCGGAGTAGCGCCAAAATCGATACTGTCATTTCGAATTAGGGATAGTGTGGCCGCAATTTGATGGTATTGACCTCCGGGAGCTATCCCACAGTGCACCATTGTGACCGCTCTGGACAGCAATCTGAACTCGGATGCACTGGCCAGGTAGACAGGAAAAGCCCCGCGAACATTTGAATTTTATTTCCTGTTTGCCCAGCACAGGAGAGCACAGGTGACCACAGAGAGCTCATCAGCACAGGTAACCATGCAGGCCGATAATCGAAAAAGAGCACCAGAATGGACCGTACGGGAGGTACTGGATCTGATCGCTATATGGGGAGAGGATTCAGTGCTAGCAGAACTTCGTTCGAAAAGACGAAATGCCAAAACTTTTGAAAAAATCTCCAAGGGCATGATGGAGAGAGGCCACAATAGGGACTCAGAGCAGTGCCGCGTGAAAGTCAAGGAGCTCAGATAAGCCTATCAGAAAACAAAGTAGGCAAACGGTCGCTCCGGGTCAGAGCCGCAGACATGCCGCTTCTACACTGAGCTGCATGCAATTCTAGGGGGGGCCGCCACCACTACCCCACCTCTGACCATGGATTCCGAGGCGGGGGTAATCTCATCAGCCGCACCTGAGGATTCTGCAGACGGGGAAGAGGAGGAGGACGACGAGCTTGCGGAGAGCACACAGCACTCCGTTCTCCCCAGCAGCCAGGATCTTTTTCTCAGCCTGACTGAAGTACCCTCCCAAGCCAGTACCCAAGACCATGACCCTATGGAAGGGACCTCAAGTGAGTTTACCTTTTAAAATATAAAACATGGTTTAACAGCAAGCGTTTTTTAATGATTAATTTGCCCTGAGGACTTGGGATGCATTCGCAGCCAGTACAGCTACTGGAAAAGTCTGTTAACGTGTCTGGGGATGGAGCGGAAATCCTCCAGGGACATCTCCATAAAGCTCTCCTGGAGGTACTCCAAAAGCCTTTGCAGAAGGTTTCTGGGCAGTGCAGCCTTATT